AAACACATTTATGACATCGTCATAGGTGACGAGTCATGGATCTATGCGTATGAACCCGAAACAAAAACATCAGTCGACTGTATGGATGTTCCAAAGTGAAGATAATCCAACAAAAGTTGTTCGAGCTAGAAGTGTTGCGAAGCAAATGGTCGCCTGTTTTTTTCGCGATAAGTGGTCATGTGGCAACCGTTCCACTAGAGGATCGCAGAACGATCAATTCTGAATGGTACACCACCATTCGTTTGCCAGAAGTGTTTGGTGAATTAAGAAAAAACAACCGCCGTCGCAGAATAACTCTTCATCATGATAATGCGAGCTCTCACACATCAGTACAAACAACTCAATTTTTGACCAGTCAAAACATCGAACTGATGGATCATCCGCCGTACAATCCTGATTTGGCACCCAATGACTTCTTTTTCTTCCCGAGCGTGAAGAAAAAACTACGTGGTCAACGATTTTTGACACCAGAAGAAGCAGTTGATGCGTTCAAAACCGATGGGAACTAGTATCGTCTATTCCCCATACAAATTAATTTTATCGATTCTACGAATACGACATCTGTTAAAAAAGATACCGATTGTTGTTACTACTGTTGCTTTGGCAGAGATCGAGCGAACTATACGGCTATGGCTGTATTACAGACGAACTAATACAAAAGAACACACAGACTCCGATCCTGTGTATGCGTATGTATTGTAAATTTTGCACAAGCAGCTACGATTGACGACTGAGTGCAGAATTTGTAATTCATACGCATACACAGAATCGGAGTCAGTGTGTTCCTTTGTACGTTTACACGAGCTGTATTAAAACACCACTAGTAACACAAATCGGCGAGTTTTTTAGTAGATGTCGTATTGGTGGAATCGATAAAGAAAAATCTACGATATTAGCGCTCATTGTTCAAAACACACGTTTTTGAGATATCTCTTTCGGAGTGGCATGAATGCTATGACAAATGGTTTCGTCGAATGCAAAAGTTTATCGATCATCACGGAGACAGCCTACGTAGAAAATGAAAGGCTGATCCTTTCTGGATGTGTTTTAGTTCATGTGTAAAAAACTTTAGAATAAAAAATATATTTTTGACAATAACACCTGTCCCATAAACATTTAGACTAAATTGAAGCGTTGATTGCGCTACATTAACAAACCGAAAAATGTCAACCAACGCATGTAGTTCATTTATCAGTACCTCGAGACTACTGTCAAACCCAATCCGTTGGAATCCATCCAATAAGAATGTCATACAAATTGGATTTACGAAAAAGTGTCTCAAATGGTTTTGGCGAGCTAAGTTCAAAACAAATTCAGCATGTGTCTAAAGATGAACCAATCTGAGTTCGAACCATGTATCGTATTTCATGGACTTAATATGAATGTAAAGATTCTAGAAAAAGCAAAAAGTCCGGTCGTATTCCCAATTTGAGTGCTCAAACCCTTCAAAATTGTCATCAAGTACCGAAAACCGTGTTGGTCAAGCAAACATTAATTTTTGGTGATTCTTATGGTTACAGTACATCCAAATTTGAACCAAAACAATAGGTTTAGACACGATCATTAGTAATCAACAAAATAAGTTACGAAAAAATTCCAAATAGTGTCAAAAGTTGGATGTTCACTTCACCTCATAGCTTGTTTCACTAAAAAATTCAACATTTTGGACAGTGACAAATTCATCGCTATATCGAACCATGAATCAAGTGCAAGTGGTTTCTTTTTCATTGATAATATAAGGGCACTACTATATAAGGCTAGAAACGTCGACAAACCGAACTTTGATAAATGGGTGTTTGTATGGTGGGATCTTCTTTGGAAGGTGTTTTAAAGCCAATATTCGAAAAGAGGTGTAATGCGCTCAATAAGCGTAATGCTTTGTTTGCCGAACTTCGTATAGACAGTGCCATCTATATATAGAATGGGATATTATTTCACAAGTTTGAGAATGAGCGCATATGTTATTCCAAAAATTGTTGAAAAATAATTTAATAAATTGTTTCATTTTTTTGTTTTGAAAATGAAGTTAGCACAATTAGCATTAGATAATTTCTATTTAAAAAAACATAAATTTATATGAGTTTTAATTTAACTTAAAAAGCCTCGGGTGTAGAGTGTGTAGATCTTGTAGAAATGATTTTGTTAAAATCTCCATACGTAAACTCATAAGTGTGAGTGTGACATTTGACAGATGGATACAAAACGTAATGTTATTGTTCTCTTACATACTTGTCATACACTCGTGCGAATTATTCTATTCTGTTAAGTTCGTTTATTCCGTTCATTTATTTTATTTATATTCTTAATCTCGCAATCACATCGCAAAATTGCGTAAAAATGGCAGATTCTATTAACAGTTTTATTGATCTTGACACCGGCTGTATAAAATATCCTGATGGAGACTTTACTTTTATATTAAACTTTATTCTGTTTAGTTCGCCAAAAGATAGAGTGAGGGCGTTAGTGTGACAGATTTCATATAAAAAAGCTACTGTATTAGAGATCTTAAGGTTAAACCACCATTTCTTGCTCCATTATCAACCAATTATTGGTGAAATCGATAGAATTTGTTGGGAACTATCTGATTAAGCAGAAAAAACCACAATAATGGCTCAGTTCTTAAAATATAGCATTTCCATGAAAAAAGGACCATTTCTTAAACTTTACAAAAAGATACCAAATTAATTATTTCTCGTCTGTTTTTGGATGTATGATATAGGCGAAGGTCCAAAATACTTGAAACGAGCAAAAAATGGTTGGATGGATTGAGAGAAAGTTGATAGAAATGAACAAATTGGTCTGCCAAAGCATGATTTTGGAGGTTTTATACATACTTCGACAAATTGAAGAAAAGGTCCATTAAATGTACTGTAAATGTGTTTTTCGGATTGTCAATGAATAAAGCAAACTACCACTGAGAGAAATTTTCAAATGCTTCTTTGGTGTTTAAATAGCGTACGCTTCAATTTAGTCTAAATGTTTATGGGACAGGTGTTAATTGAATTAACTTAATTCATACGCTCCGATAGATTTTGTTGGATGTAAAGAGTGAATTCAGATAAACTATTTAGAAACACTGAAACACATCTTTTTAATTTAATGAATCTTTTTAGACTGACAATACATTTATTGTATTCTATGATTTTATACTTGATATTATAATTGAAGCAGTGTTTGGTAAAGATATCTTATCTCGTTTGAGATAGTAAGATAAGATAAGATAGATACTATCTTTTATCTTATCTAGATGATTTTAGAAACTTAAAAAATCATCTTATCTTTATCTTATCTTTCGGCTTTTTTTGGTATCTTATCTTTATTTTTTAAGATAAATAATAAGATATTTTGGTCATTTATTAAAAAAAAAATCATCAATTGTCGGTATGATTAATTTGTTCATTGAAGCGAAAATGATCAATTTCATGACCCGATTCGTCAAAATTATATTCGAATTCTTCGTTATCAAATTCCATTGCACGCCCATTGAAATCAAGTTGATTGCATTCGAGAAATTTCGAGAAATTCACCTTCGTACTGCATAAATGGCATAAACTCGAAACGATTTGAAAAAGGTGCTTCCACCATCCGTAACAATATGTGTTATTTTGTGCACTGCCAGATCATATTTTTTAACCCTCCGTTTAGCGCTAGGGTCTGGCTAGACCTTTTTCAATTTCGATTTTATTTTAAAAATATTTCCAAATTTGATATATACTCGAAATTTCATGACTTCTCCTAGAATTTTATTGATAACATTTTAGAAAAAAAATCAGGACAAAAAAACCATAAAAGGATTGTTACAAGGACATCTCAATGTACATATCACATAAGTAGCGCTTGGGTCTGGCCAGACCCACATACATTTTATATGAAAAGTGACGCAATTTATAATCTGTTACCAGTAAAAATCCCTGGATTTGGAAAAATATTTGCTTCAAGATACTGTATGTGGTAGATGGGCCAAGATATGACATTTGGGACAAAAAAAAGTTCCCCTGATTGATATGGGACTAGATATGACCCTTGGTAGTTCCAAGAACCCCAATATTCAGGTGAAATATGACATGAATATTTCTGAATATTAAAGCAAAAAACTATCAATCGATTTTTCTCTCTTTTCCGATGGGAAAATCGCAAAAATAACGAAATTGCACATCCCCGTAGGGGATGTAATCCCTCGAGTGCTCAACCTCCAGAACACTTTGGACCAGGTCGGATCCACCTACTCCACAAGATTCACTTCCAACTCTTTTCATCTCACTCTCGCGTATAAATCCAGTTTACTCTATAATATTGTATGAGATGAAGGAAATGATTCAATACCACATGATGTCTCAACTTCTAGAACACTTTGGACCAGGTCGGATCCATCTGCTCCACATTTTTCAAAATTTTATTCAAATAATTTTCGTTATCTTTTTTTTTATGTTATCTTTTCGAAAGATATCTTATCTTTTATCAAAAAGATAAGATGAAAATCTTGAAAATATCTAGATGCATTTCGGAAAATTGAGATACTATCTCAAAAGTATCTAGATACATTTCAGATATCTTAACCAAACACTGAATCGAAGTGAACTTGATTATTCTCAATAGATTTACTGCTCTTTGCAAACGTAGAATGGTCAACGATTCTCTCTTTTGCCTATCAATTGAATAAAAAAAATTAAGCCTGTGAGTGATTTTCAGAGTGAGCCAAATTGCATTAATTCACATACACATTTAATTCATTAATTGCACTTTTGCAGTTTGTCTCATTAATTACCGTTTTATTTATATATTTTAACCTAACCAAGTAAGCTTATGCCAATCCGTTTTCAAGCTTCTTCCTTATGTTAAAGCGTTACATTGAATACTGCTATCTCCTAGATTTCTGCACAGTATAAAATATTGTTTATTGTGTCATTAATATATAAATTATATGGTATATTTATTTAAATATTTTACACATAGAAACTCTTACCACATTTTTGTCTTTTCGTTGAAATTAATTTTCATTGCAGGAGATGATGTAAATTACCCATTATCATACATAGAGGATGTTCTACAGCAACCTCAGAAGTAAGTATATAAAATAGTATATCTCATTCGATGCTTTCGGCTATTTTCATAATTAGACTTGTATATTCTTGTTTGTTGTTTGTTGTAGCAGCACAAAATAACAGAAAATTGCATTTTCCTCCGAAAAATTGCTTTTAATTTGTTTGAACAAACCCCTAGACAAAAACTCATATTGCCATATTATTTAATACAATTAATATTTCGCACGCATTGCATGGTATCACAACTTTTTTTCAAGTATTGACTCTTGCAATTCAATTTACCATTTTATGTATTATATGTACTTGATAAGCGGTTAGCTCTTTTAATGGTATTGCTGTAGTTTGCTGACGCTGTCTTATGTAATGATTAAAATAATAATAACTGCGCCGAATAGCACTCCACTGGTGTGGTCCATTTAAAATATAATATAATCCAAATATTCTTCATCGAACAATCTTTAAACAAATAAATGTCTTTGATTATAAATTTTTGTAAAGGTTGTTTTTTTAAGAGGTTGAGAATTTTAAATTGAAATAAAACACACATCGATTTTTATTCAATGGTGAAAATTGCTTTATTTGGTAGATAAATTTATACCATTGACATTTAAAAAATGATTTCGGGCATATAGTCACCATGGCCCTAGGGGGGAGACACCAAGAATAAATTCCGAATCCACTATATAAATTACTAATCCAGCTATTCCACAAATCCAAAAACACAAATGTGAAATCGAAACTATTTTTCCTATTCCATGCACTGTTTCCGTCAAAAATGTTAATTCTGCTATTCCGGACTGTTCCACTAATCCATCAATAAACGTCAAAAGAAATGTCAAATGGATTTGAAGTGAAACAATTTTTGCTATTCCATGCACTGTTTCGCTATTCCACGCGAATCCATTCACAGACGTTGCTATTTCATTGCAATTTCTCTAATCTTTACACTAAAAGTTTAATCCTATTCCACGTGTCTGCCCCCTAGCCATGGCCAGTTTTACATAGGCCAGTCGGCCAGTCCATTTTTGGTTATTTTTCGGACATCGATGGCAATAACTCGAGAATAACATGATGATTATTGGCCTTAGAAGTGCTTAATCGTTGTTAGCTTATCCGCATAGACCATACACTTCAATGTGCTGCACAAAAAATATTCCAAAAATGTTAAAATCAAGGTTTTCGACCAATCGATCGTTTGATAAAACAATAATTATTATTATTATATATAGGAATAAATTTCCATAGTCATTTTATTAAAGAAATTAAACTTATATATATTAAATTTGCAGAATAGTTTTTTTGTTTTAGAAGAAAAATAAATACTCGTTATATGAATTTTAAAAATAATCAGTTCGTTAGTAAGATTCAAATTATTTCAAATTTTTTCCTTTTTTCTCATTTTTTATATATAGAACTTTTTTCCGTATAAGTTTTATTGAAAAATCGCTGATTTTCTCATTCTTTATATATAAAAATATATTTTCATACAAGTTTTATTAAAAAATCGCTGATCTTCTCATTTTCTCATTTTTATATTATTTGTTTTCTACTCAGATCAAATAGTCCAAAAACTTTGCTAATGGTATCTTTATTCAACATGCATTCATGCTCACATGTATTTTTCACTCAAAAATAATACCTCGCACATTATCGAAGAGGAAAACCTTCACAAAATAAGCAATGAGAAAGTTTAATTTTCACTACGTAAATGGAATTAAAAGCTTTTAATACTAAAACATCTTGTAAAAGCATTTAGCCTTTAATTTTGATGAAAATTATTTTATTCATATAATTCAACTCTGTTTGGCTCCGGATGATGACTGGCAATATTTGGAAGCAAACAGTCATCAATAATGGCATTCATTGTCGTAATTTTGGCACCAGGTGAAGTTTTAAGAAAAATGTTTCAAAAATGCAGATGGTGTATAAAATGTCACTTTTGGTCGACTTAAGTGTCATTTTTTCTATAGAAATGAAGAATTCAGGACTTCCATTAGTTTACCATGTCTTCAAATGTACCAGAAATTCTCTTTTTCAAACCCATTTGTCAAATATTATAGAATCTGGTATGATCAAAAAATTGACCAAAAAGGTCTGGATAATTGGCCTATGTGAAAAGTGATCATGGCGACTATATGCCAGAAATCTTTTTCAAACCATAAATGGCAGAGATTTTGCTGCCAAATAAAGCCATGTTCACGATTAAAATAAAAAAAAAATATGTGATTTATATCAATTTAAAAAAACACCCTTTACAAACTAAAAATTATTTACAAAATAATAATTTTCATTGAAGTAATAGTTTTCGATTTCATCTGTAATGAAACCAGGCCAAATCCTGAAAGTCCACCAATCAGCCAAATTCCACCGGATTTTGATTTTAGGCCAAAAAGTAGTTGGCTGTATGGTGTTCACTTTGTGAACACAAATTTGCTTATTTTTGCCGATTTCCCATCGGAAATGCGAGAAAAATCGATCGGGAGTTTTTTTGTGATTTTGACTGCCTTTCTGCTGTTTTTCGTGTTTCAGTACTATTTGCTTCTAGTAACACCAATCGAAATATACTGGTGAGATACTATACTAATAACTATACTAATAAGATACATGCATCTTATTAGTCTTCTGACTAGTAACATTCTAATAACTATACTTATTACTATACTTATTAGTGCAAAAAAGTAATAAGTAATAATATAGTTTGATCTTATTAGAATGATAAGATAATAAGATGAATAATAAGATACCGAAAATGCCCAACTGTAAAAAGGAATGTATGTTTTTCGGCTGAACCAGTTGTTGATGAAGGAATGCATGTTTCGCACTAAATAAATTTTGCAAAAGGATAGTAAGTGATTCTGATTCAGTTGTTAAAAAAGGGATGCATGTTATAACGATTTTTTTTCTGGAATTGGGCTTTGGTGGATCCTAAGGATTGTTCAGAACTGCTCCCAGTTCTGGAAGTGGGTTTTGGTGGATCCTCAGGATGGACCATACTAATTTTGTTGCGTACTAGTAAGTGTCTAAGGTATGGATTCGATGTTCGGACGCACTTTTTCAGTTTTTCATCGAATGACCTACTTTCTGTACAATGAGTTATATATCGTTGAAAAGCTACGAACTTCGGCTATCCAAATCTGAAGTCAGAATGGAAAAAATGTCGAAATTGACCACTAGATGGCGCTCATGTGAGTATTTCTTCATAAAATGACCATGACTTTTTTCACACCGACCATAATTAAAAAAATTACATACATAGTTTTACGCTGGAAAACTGAGCGTTTGTTGGGGACCAGATTTGTAATGTTTTGGTGTATGTGTCATGTCTGGGAAAATTCGTAACGAACCAATTTTTTTGTCCAAAGTAAAAAAAAAAATCGAACATTTTCGATTTTTGGATTATTCATCGAATATGGTACACGGGGTGTTTTTCAACAAAAATATATCAGTTTTGGCTATTCGGCAAGATATTGAGCTCCTCTTGAGCATACAGTGAAGAGATTTTGAATAAAATCAGTGGATGTTTTAATTCATTTATGACCATACTAAAATATTGTCTAAAATATATAATTAAAAACAAATGATTTTATTTATGAATTAAAATACATTCAGTAAGGTTCAGGCTTTCATTTTCCGGTCCTTTGACAATTGGATGTAAATCGGTTGTTTAATTACACTGTGTGTCACTCAAAATGTGACAGAAACGAGACCAACCGTTTTTACATAATTCGGGTATGCTGATTTCAATGGCATCATTCGTTTTTACCTAACACGTCAGGATTTTTCACAATTTTCCTAGAGAGTTTTCCGGAAAACCAAAATTGGCTGTTTATACTCTAGGAAAATTTTGTATTCATGCAATATCCCAGAGGGGTGACCTATCAGGCTTTGTAGTATGGTTCAAGTATAGTAAAGCCACACAATTCGTTTTGAAAAAAATTTGATCATTTAAAAAAAATTGATTTGGTTATTCCCCACATTTTGAAGTAAAATTGGTATCCATTCAAACGCTCTGAAAATGAGTATTTGAGGGTTTTTTGGCATGAAAAGACCGAATATGAAGCTGTTTTTGCTAGAAAATTGGATTTGAATACTCTTACCACACAAAAAGTATCCAAAATGATCAAAAATGACCACAAATTTTAACGTGTGGCAATTGTATTCAAACCTAATTTTATAGCAAAAACAGCATCCGATCTTTTCATGCCAAAAAATCCCCCAAATACTCATTTTCAGAGCGTTTGAATGGAGAACAATTTTACTTCAAAATGTGGACTTCACTCTATATCTATTGAATATATCGAGAAGAGAGTATGTTATTCAGCGCTTATGGCTGAGTAATGTCTGAATAAAAACATACTCTCCTCTCGATATTTTCAATAGATATACGATATACTGTAAAGAAATGAAACCAACATATTTAGAACTTTTTGATTTTTTGAAATTTTCATAAAAATTCGGACCAGACTCAAGTATACTTTGTCGAAGCGTAATTCGCTAAAACTTTGCCAGGCTTAGTTTATCAGTGATCATAACCCAGGGACGGAGTTTGGGTCGATTCTTCAAACTTCGAAAATTTGTTGGGCGATTTCGTGTGGAATTGCCGACATGTCTCTCTAAATTTTTAAATTTTGTTGCGTAAGTGCCTAAGGTATGGATTCGAAAAATGTTCGCACATTTTCTGTTTTTCATCAAATGGCCTACTTTCTGAGCATATGAAAGGTGAGGTAATGATCTATATATGTCGTTGGAAAGCAACGATCTTCAGCTATCCAAATCTGAAATCAGAATGGAAAAAATGTCGGAATCTACCGTCAGATGGCGCTTCATGTGAGTGTTTTTTTTCCAAAAATGACCATGACTTTTTTCACACCGACCATAATTAAAAAAATTACATACATAGATTTCTGGTAGAAAACTGAGCGTTTGTTGGGGACAAAATATATTATGTTCTGGTGTATGTATCATGGGGTTGGCGCTGGTATCGAAGATTTTTTGTTGAAGATTCAGCGAATACGACATCTATCAAAAAACATAATAAAATTTGTTACTAAAGAATACACTGACTCTGATTTTGTGTGTCCGTTTGTATTGCAAATTCTGCACTCAGTTGTCAACCGTAGCTGCTTGTGCAAAATTTACAACACACACGCATACACAGAATCGGAGTCAGTGTGTTCTCAGTACTAATACGTTTGCAATACAGCTATATAGTTCGCTAGAGCTGTGTCAACACAGCAGTAACGAAAATCTTTATTGTCTTTAATAGGTGGCGTATTGTTGAATTTTCTACAAATATTTCCATACAAAAAGTGCTTCACCAGCGCCCACCAGTATCATGTCTGGGGAAATTCGTAACGAACCAATTTTTTTGTCCAATATAATACGTCAGTTTTGGCTCTTTGGCAAGATATTGAGCTCCCCTAGAGCATACAGCAAAAAAAATTGAAAAAAAATTAACTGGAGATGGTTTAATCCATTTATGACCATACTATTTAAAAAATGGGGAAAAATCGATGAAAATCGTAATTTTGTTTAAAAAATAATAATAGACTGGCCCCCAAAACACAAAAGTTGAAATTTTGTCGCTCTTACATCGGAATACTTTTCCATATGGTGTGCAAATAACGTATGTAAAGTTTCATGCCGGAAGCTCAACGCTAGATGGTGCCGCGAGAGCTCGATAGGTCATTATGTGAATTTACTGAAAAATGACATTTTCAGTTGAAATAAAAATATCTTCGCATAACCATATCGACTTTAAATTGATGCTAATCGTCATTTTCCATCAAACACTAGCCACTGGTGAAGTTTCAAACGATTTGAATGAAAATAAAACACATTTCTATGCAAAATTTTGACCAAAAATTCCAATTTCATCACTAAAAATGAAGGTTTTGTACCAAAGGCACGACAGACCTCCACAAATTAATCTCAATTGAAGCTAGAATACTTTCAGAGCAAAACAAATGTGATTTCAATTTGGTATACATCAATTTGAACGCATCGTATAGCTGGAACACTGTCATTTGCATAGCTAGTAGTACTAGGAGACTTGCAAGTTTTGGCACGAGAAAACAGAATATGACGTTAGTTAAAAAAATAAAATGCAAAGTTTCATGTCGTTATGATGTCACACAGGCGGCCATACAAAATCCAAATTTATGTAGATTTGTTCAGATTTTTGTTTGAAAAGTGTATCAAAAATGATTCATATTGCAAAACTAACGTCATATTCGGTTTTCTCGTGCTCAAACCCCCCACCACATGTTTTTGAGTGTTTAAGTACACATAAAGTATGACTGTTGGAAGGACTCTTCCTCTTTACCCTATCAACCAAAGTCGCTCAAAATCTAATGGTTTCTATTCCTCGCAACCCAAAATCATCTGTGAAGTCGGATTTTGAATTACGTTTCTGGGGTGGTTATCGTGTTAACAAATTTGTGCGTACAGCATACAGGGTACGCATATACATTCGGCCATCGAAAAAACCAAGAAAACATGTTTTTAGAGGGTGTTTTTCGGCCGATTCCAAAACTTTACCTTACACACAATGTGTGCGCACAAAAGCGGAAACTCGAGTATCAAAACAAGAGAATGCAATAAATGATTAATGAATAACAATAATAAATAAAATGCAATAACAATTTCTATGCTGCGACATTCACCTTTAATTTTAAACAAAAGCAAACAAAGTTTAAGTTTTTTCAACCAAGCTCACTTTTTTCTCAAATTCCTTTAATATCAGACGATCTTCACTAATTTATGTTTTTAGAAGATCTTGTGTCAGACGTGGAGGCAATTGTGACCATCGCCCAAACGGTAATAGATTTTCTATCTTTATACATACGCAATATACATATATATTCTCTCATTTTTTTTTTCAGAATGCTGTTTCAATTCAAGTTGTCGCTGTAACTTGTGGTTAGTATTCAATATGTATTTTAATTTTTTTTACAGTCATTTTTACGAAGTTTGTGTTGCTCAAGTAGAATATATTGGGTGTATAAATTAATTTTGATCGTTTTTTTGGTGAAAGGAAA